GGGTTTAGGGGTTAGGGGTTTAGAGCATAAGGCTTAAGGTTGAGGGTTTGCGGTTTCGGGCCCCTGATAACTCAACTTCCCGCAGAGCAATGGCGACGGCTGCACCATGAGCGTTCTCACACTCAGCAGAGCCTGTGGCTGTGCTTCTGGACTTTTTGGAATAAAGCATCAGGGACCCAGACCCCAAGCAGCAGGTGCCTCTAACTTACCCACAGGCTCCATTGTAGTTCCTTTTTGTCGTTTATATTTACGTTCCTATAAGGTAACCCCAAAAAGGAACTACAATGGAGCCTTATGGGTAGTTACTAAGTAAGTCTCGTAGTTACTAAGTCTCCTGACCCTCCAAGTACATGGGCCTTCAGATTTGAGCAAGGGTTTGGGGGCACCTCGAAGCTCTACCCTAAACCCTGAACCCGCAGCCCCAAACCCTGAACCCTAAAACCCTAAAACCCTAAAACCCCAAAACCCTGAACCCTCAACCCTAAACCCCAAAACCCTAAACCCTAAACCCTAAAACCTAAAACCCTAAACCCTAACACCCCAAACCATGAACTTCAGGACCCTAGACCCTAGCCCATACCATGAATTTCAGGACCCTAGACCCTAGCCCATACCCGTCGAACCTTCGGAGCTCGGCTTCGAGAGCTTCGGGAGTCTTCAGACTCAGCGGTGACCACTATTAGGGTTTAGGGTTTAGGGTTTAGGGTTTAGGGTTTAGGAGTTTAGGGTTTAGGGTTTAGGGGGCTAATGCTGTGTACTATAGCGGCCTTAATCTACTCATAATTACCTATACTATTTTTTGATAGTATAATATACTAGTTACTAGGGGGCGCCGCAGTATACTAAACTTAGGGTTTAGGGTTGACGGTCTAGGGACGAAGCTTACAAGTTAACAGAAAAGGGAAGAAGTAATTTCAGCGTTACCACTACTTCATTCTTCGAACCTCTCTCTTGCACCCTCAAGCCCTCATGGTCTAGAACCGCCACTCTGGATATTGGGTTTAGGGTTTAGGGTTTTTCGGCGGTCTCCACGAACTAGCATCCCTTTTACCCTATGCTCGCAACCTGAGGCTGCCTCAAACCCGAAACCCGTACCCCGTTCCGATCTCTGCTTGGAGGTTTATATGGGGAGTTATACGTTGGGTTATAAGTCCCCGAATGGGAGTCATGATCATGGTTACCCTACTTATAACCCCATATATAACTGCCCATGCACTTCCAAGTGCTTACAGGATTTTGAGACGACGGCCTGCCTTGCATTCCAGGTGGCAGCACCTGCCACGCCAATGGTTCTGCGACTAGACCAGAAGCCCTGAACCCTACGCCCCTAAACCCCTAAAATCCTAAACCCTTAAACCCCCAAATTGCCCCTAAATCCTAAACCCTAAACCCTAAACCCCTAAAATCCTAAACCCTTAAACCCCCAAATGCACATTCTACGGACCCCTACCCTAAAGGCCTCAGCATTTAGCACCTCAGAGTTCAGGGCTCTAGGTCTCTGTCTTACGAGGGTTCTGCACGGGCTCTAAGAGGTTAAGGGTTCAGGGCTAAGGGTTTAGGGTTTTGGGTTTTGGGGTTTAAGGTTTCAGGGTTTTGGGTTTTGGGTTTTGGGATTTAAGGTTTCAGGGTTTAGGGTTTTGGGTTTTGGGGTTTAAGGTTTCAGGGTTTAGGGTTTTTGCACGTGGGAGAAGGGTTCGTTTCGGGTCTTGTTTTTGAAGGATCCTGTGGCTTGCTGGCACTAACTCGAAACGCTCACCGGACTTTCAGTGGGCTGTAGAGTGTCGGGTTTAGGGCTTAGGGCGTGGGGCTAACCAAAGGGTTTCGGCTTTGGGGCTCCTCTTAAAGCTGTCCGAGTTCTGCGATGCTTCGAAGAACGATATCTGTTCGATGGACTCGAAACCGACATCGGGGGATCAAAAGCTAGGTTCGCGCCGTACCCAGGCCGTAGCCAACGGGGCCTCTGCCACTACTAGCCACTCCGAAAGAGGGCGCCAAGTTGGGACAACATCCATTTACCGAGAAGCCTCTTGTTTCGGGCCAAACATTTTAGGGTTTGGGGCTTTGGGTTGACGGTTTAAAGTTTAGGATGTAGGGTTTAAGGCTTTAGGGCTTTAGGGCTTTAAGGCTTTAGGGCTTTAAGGCTTTAGGGCTTTAGGATGGGCTGGGATCCTTTACCCGTGGTGAGCTGCCTTGTACACTCGCCGTGCCAGGTGCGTTGGGTGCA